CAGTGACGGTCCTTCTGATTGGTAGAGATGTTATTTATATCGAGGCATGGCGCTTAGGACAGCAACTGTGGCTGAGCAGAAAATGGATGAAGCCATCTCAGTTTTATCGTTTATTTTCAGTTGTTCATGTGTAACTTATGTAACCACTAGTTAATACTTTCTACAGTTGCTTGGAATATGTTTTTGTTTACTATGAACATAAATGCGACTTTATGCCTTTTCTCTGAAATGTTCTCCTAGAGTTCATGTAGTCCTTCGTTATGCACGCTGATTAGGGCTGCACAATATATTGCCATATAAATATCAGTACGTGCAATATTAATGGAGCAAAGAACCATTTAGAATGCAATACAGTGTAAATCTGTAAATCCAAATGCATCTGAATATGAATTTTTCCAAATATGAAAGGTCCGCCCCAATTAGGAATTAGATTCAGAGAATAAATGTGACGATCCAGAGAGTGGACCAGCACTGTGCGGCTCCGCAACCCTGGCTTTGTTGGGCCAGTATACGCTCCATGTGTTGCTGGTTAACGAGAGCAACTTTCTCCTTGTAGTTTTTCCCTGAGAGCCTGGAGAGAGTGACACTCGAGTTTCTGGGCAGTTGTATTGGATGCTATTAAAGCCGTAATTTGTTGCTCTTGTGTCGGGTTTTGGTCTCAGTGCAAAATGCTCTAGAATGGAGAACACACCATCATATCTTCCTTTAAGTAATAATTGAGGTTGTTTTTCCTTGCACATAATCTTAGAAATAAGAAAAACTTAAATGAATTCAAAGTAAAAACCTTGCTCACTCATCTCCATCATTTCAAACAGATGAAATATTGTCCCAGAAAAACTGAGCTCACTATTATTTATTGTTTCACCATTATTTCACCGTTCAAAGTGCCCGGCAATGTCATAACACAGGGTTAATGACTCTACTATGCAGAGAACGACTGTCATTCGGAGTGCTGTTTGTGTTTTGCTGTGGGTGGAGCTTTGGAACAGCTTAATTTTCATTCCCATTATTTTCCATGGGGAAAGGTGTTTCAAAGATGCAAACTGCATATTCCAATAAATTAAAATGTCTTCAGATGTTCCACTGAATTGGCTGGCTATAATACTCTAAGTGTCAATAAGTCTCTGTTTGCATGGCAGTGATATATATTTAGACTGTTGGAGGAAGTCCTACTGCAGCAGATATACACACCTAACATAGATGATAGCGCAGAGATGCTAAAGGTCACAGCAAGTGTTGGGATCATTGTAATGACAAGTGAGAAACAGAGAGGTGCAATATTTGATAACATTTATATAGCAATCAGATGATTTTGTGCTGATATTCAGATCACAATATAGTTTTAATATATTTTACAGCCAGTTTCTACAAAGATCCTGTTTTCACTAAAGGCTTTTGGATTAATTATGTGCATCAACAGTATGACTGACAACTGTTGATTTCTAGTATCCCTCTTTTTTAGAACTCATTTAAAGGTATATTAACAAACATGAGAAACCAGCATCAACTTGAGTGAAAGTAAGAAAAAGCAAAAAGCTTTTTTTCTCACCTGCAGTCATGATCCCGGTCGAAGGAACAGGAACAACCGTGACGTTCTGGGAGGTGTGTGACTGGTGTAGATGTCCCCCAACTCCACTCATGGTTGCATTACCGCTGTTACCACCTCCTCCTGATGTATTCCCACCTCCTTCCTGTTTAGGGACCACCCGCAGCCCAGACCCCGCATCCACTGAACCCGGGATAGCGAGCACAGCTGTGGGGTAGTGAGGGGAAGAGGTGGAAGACGCAGAAGAGTGCGGGAAGGCAGGTGCGTTGGCCTTGTCTGGACCCAGCTGTTCCTTTGCCTTGTTGAGGAACATGGCGTTCTCAATCTAGAAAGTGGTGTAAAGTGTAAAGGGTGGAGTAATAAAGGGGCAAGGTGGGATGTTGAAGGTAAAGTTGTTCATGAGGGTGACAGAGTTGGAAAAAAAAAAAGGAGGTAAAAATAATGAAGGAAGAAGAAGAATTACAAAGAGTGCTTCAAACACATGAAAATGACACAAGGTGCACAATATGACAAATAGAGGTCAGACATGCAGATGGTAGGAAAGTTAGAAAGGTTGACAAATGCAGGAAATTACAGCAAAAGAAAAATATGTTAAGTATGGGGAAGAGAGGAAAGGTTGAGGATGGGATGTCAAGATGCCATGAAAAGTAAGGAGCAAGGAGGAGGTGATACAAATGATAACACATCAGTTTGGAAATATGACAAAACATGGAGAGTGTGAAATGAATGAGTGACCAGTGGGATTAGTAAAGAGATAAAAGAGAATGGGAAACAAGAGAATACGAAAGCACAGTGAGATGCAAAAAGTAAAAGAAAAACAAGAACAAAGAGAAAATAAAGACATAAAAGAGAAGGAGTGATCATGTGATCAAGTGAATGCACCAAGACATGTTAAAAAAACTTCAGTGCTCTAAAATTCATCAACTGAATCCTTAAAGCAGCTCTATAAACAGTCAGTCATAATCCCATTATAACCATGTGCATTTCAAGACATTTCCAACAATAAGGTTGTCTCTACCTGTCCTTGTACAGTGGGGACGGGAGACCAAAAGTATGATGAGTTGAAATGGGATTCGTCCATTATTTCTGTAATTAAAAAGTAACACACTTAGAAAACACCTGTCCTTCCCCTCTTCACTGATTTCTTTCTGTGTCACGTAAAAGGAGACCATCATCTCAGCTTGATTCCTTTCAATACATCTTCTCCAAAGGCTGATACATTCAACATATCAAGTTTACAGAAGCTCTTAAATTTAGTGGGTCTGCTGAACCAAATACACTCCTGTCAACGATCCATTTCGTGTCTAACGGAGTAATGTTTTAACAGTAATTTCAGCTTCATGATTTGCGAAGAGGATGTGAAAGGAATCAGGCTAAGATGTTCATCCCAGGTGGGGATGAAGAAGGTAATAATCTAGAGTAGGACAAAAAAGCAAGAATGAAGATCAGCCTGTTCTCATGTTTAGTACCACAGCCCATGCACTTGTGTTGCTGTGACCAAAAATGCAACCATTAACAGATTGTGAGGGAAATTAAATTTACATGTTGTTAAAATATTTGCTAAATGTCCACTTTTTTTCATTGGCAAAAACAGCAATATTTTTATCTATGAAATTTAAATTTAACACGTGTTGCCATGCATTTGCATGTTGTTTTGCACATATACTGCAGCGGAAAAGTTAGTACTGAGGTGCAGCTTTCTAAGTGCATGTGAAGACATAAAAATGCCCTGCATAGTCAAATATTACCTCCATTCACGGCTCACAAAAAGGAATGCAAGTAGTTACATGTTAGTGAAGCTTAACTTGTGGGTTATACAAGAAATGACGTTGAACGAGACTGGGAAGCCATTGAAAGACAGACCCCACCACAACAAACCCTGGCACATTTCATGCAGCACAACTCAGGGCATGTTTGTTTTTCCATGTGCCTCCTCTAATCTCTGCTGCAGCCAACAAATAAAAAATGGGGAAAAAGCCGCCAAGGTAAATTAATTCATCCCCCACATTATCTCCACCGCCGCTTTAAAACCAGAGTGGCGGTCACGTTGGTGTATTAAAGTCAGCGTTTTAGTGCCCTGAGAGCCATTATTACCGAGAGGACACAAACTGGCTCAAACACTGTGGCACAGCTAGCGGCGGGCTAACGATAGCAGTGACTGAGGAAAGCTTGCAGAAATAAAACCGGTGGAAACTGTTATAAAATCGGATGACATGTTGGGATGTTTTGATGCGTTTTGCTGCAAGCTAAGCGGGCTGCCGACAGCAGCTGAGAGTGATATCTGAGTGCCACACAAACACGGCTAACGCTAACTTGCCTCCATTAATTTTCTCCTTTTGTTCGTTGGCTTGTTCAGTCAAGCTAAAACTGGAGGCCTGCGTGTGTTTTAACGCTTAACCTGCGAACACAAGCATCCTCAGTCCCTACGCCTCCATGTCTCACCGCTTGCTCATCTCGCACAGAGAAAATAAAAAAAGAAAAAAAAGTGTCGAATAAAAAAAAAAAAAAAAACAAGACAGAAAAAAAAAACGTCGACGCCGTAGCCTCTGTTGGAGACGCAGCTTCATGCAGACTTCCGGCGACGGGGACGACGGTGCTCTGAGACACACTGCAAATAACAATGCATTTAAAACCGAATTATAACTCCAGAGTTAATTACCGGTGAACTGGACTCCCTTTCCACCCCCTGAAGCTTCCTCAGGACGGGACAGTTGGGAAACTTTGTCGAAATCCGCCCCTCAAAGCTCTCAGATAGGCCTTTTTTCCTTCGTTTTTTTCTCTTTTTTTTCCCTCCAGTTCTTTTCTCGCAAACAAAGCCGCACAATTCAGCTGCTGCGTTTCCGGTCTCATCTTTCAAAATAAAACTACAAACATAAGGGTAATAAAAACCATTTATTCCATGTAAATGGTACTCGCCCCGTATATTTTTACGGGCTTTACTATCGGAGAATACTTTTCTGACTTTAAATCTGTACGTCAATCAGCAAATGTTTTTAACATGTCATCTAATTTAATAGTAGAATAAATTATTTTCAAAACAAAATTCAGTAACTTCCGGTAATAATCTGATTCTAGCTGGTTGTTTTGACAAAACGTGTTTCCGGTGTTTTCTTTATCCTGGCTTTCTGCAGGCATTTTGGTGATATCATAGTCTATAATCTAATATATCGTTTAGTATTAAAAACGTACAGTGTTGTAAAAATATCTATCTATCTATCTATCTATCTATCTATCTATCTATCTATCTATCTATCTATCTATCTATCTATCTAAATATCTAAATATCTATCTATCTATCTCCCTTATACTGACATCCCTAAATGCAGTCCGGTGCAACCCAAAGCCTTCAGAAAATAGCTAATTAGTAAAAACATATGCAGAAGAACACAGTAAAAATTCAGCTGTTCTGTGAATCCCTTAGAGAACATTATAGCTCAAACGGTATCATGATGAGGTGACTGTGGCTCAGTAGGAAGAGTAGTTGTCTTGCAATCAGAAGGTTGTGGGTTCGATTATGCCATATGTCAATGTGCCACTTAACCTCAGGTTGCCAACCAATCTGTGTGTCAGTGTGATTGGTTGAATGTGGCTCTAGTGTAAAGCTTTGAGTGGTCTGTATGACTGGAAAAGTGCTATATAAGTTCAGTCCATTTACCATGATGACCAAGGAACACAGCAGACAAGATAAAGCTTTGGAGAACTTCAAAGCAGGGTTAGATTATAAAAGAATATTCCAAGATCTGAACATCTCATAGAGCTCTGTTCAATCCATCATCTGAAAACAGAAAGCAGATATGGCCTTCCACTTAAACTGACAGGCTGGGCAAAGACTCTGGAGGAGCAGCAGAGATTCACAGCTCAGGTAAGAAGACTTGTTGACAGGACAACTATTCAAACTATTTTACAAAGAGAAGCAAGAATAAAGCCATAGGAGGTACTGTTTGCAGTACAAACAAGCGATGTAATGGACACAGCAAATGTGTGGAAGACGGTGCTCTGGTCGAATGAGACGAAAATTTAACTTCTTGGCCACATATAGCAAGTTGCTGGAGGATTCTTCTCTTCTGCAGTGACAGGGAAGTGGGTCAGAGTTGGTGGAAAGATGTATGGAGGTAAATCTGGTATGGAGGTAAGACTGGGTTGGATGTTCACGTTTAGGCAAGATGACAACCCTAAACATCCAACCATAGCTACAATTAAACGGTTCAGATCAAAGCATAATCATGTTTTACTATGGCCCAGTCAAAGTCCAGGCTTAAATCTAACTGCAAATCTGTGGCAAAGCATGAAAATTGATGTTCAGATGCTCTCCATCCAATCTGAGGATGAGCAAAAATGTAAGTTTCTGCAAACCTGATTGAGACCCCCCTTATTGTTAGTCCTAGTTTAACTCACTAAACGGTGGTTTATACAGTGCATCAGATTGGCTGTGATTCTGGTTTGATTTTTTCCTTAATTTTGTTAATTTGCCACCAGTGATGTTAGTATCGGAACATTTATTTGCTTGAATTAAATTAATCACAGTATTTGAGATTTAAAGAGTTATGGAGTTTAACGTGGAAAAAAGGAATGCAGATAATTCAAATACACAAAAGCTAATGAAAAATAAAACCAAGAAAATGAAACAACAGCATTAAAACATGCACAAATCAGACTAATAAATAGAAAATATTGCACAATAGAACCATACTTATATATTAAATGGTTTAATTAACTGCAGAGACTTGATTGGTTTCCATTTGAAATTTATTAAGTATATTAGATGCAGGATGGTGCATTTTAATAAAACACAAAACACCAGAAATGCTCTGACAGTAATATTATTTACCAAGGAGTGACTATCCAATCTGCCAGAGATTCATATACAAGAAAGAACTTCAATAAACTCTATAGATTTAATACATTTGTCATCACACATAGAGTTATCTTTGTTAAGGTTAGTAGTTATCCAAAGTTAACATTTGAAACGGACAATGCTACATGGACACTGTATCAAATATATTCTGCATAAAGTACATTTAATCTACATGTTCCATGTGATTTAATTCTGAACACTACAGATGAACATTTTTAGCCAACTTTGGTAACTCCACGCCCGCTGTGTCCTAGCTATAAACATACACTGCTTCTAAGAATACAGTGCAATACAATTCAAGTGTAATAGGTGCGGATGCATGCATTAAAACAATAGTGGCTGTCTTCAGATGAATAACATACACAGATGAAAAGCCATTTCAGTATGTTTGGCTGCAGTGAAACCGGCTGTGCAGAATTCACACATAACTAAAGCAGCAGCAGGATTAGAGGGGGCGATATTCACAACACAAATACAAATAAATACTGTAAAATAAACAGAGCTAAATATTTTCACTTAGAGAAACTCACCTGTGATGCACTGAAACACACACATATCCTTAAACAAATGAAGTATTTCATGCAACAGGTCCAATACTTGAGGTAGAGGCTGACAGCGAGACAGGTTTATGATTTAAGGCATTTTGGGACATTTTGTAGTGACTAAAGTGATGTTTCAGAGTAAACATCATTGTTTTCTAGGTGAAGATGTATTAAAACAATAAGACATTTTGAATTTCATACATAGAGATGTTTGGAAAACTACTAGACATCGTGCATGTTACAGAAACCTTAAAAGAACCATAGTCTCTCATAACCGATCAATAAAAAAACATAAATTTTCATTAAGTCGCATCACATCAGGGCCTGATTCACCATTTTTATCTTGTTATAGTTCAGAGTCTGGGCTTCATGTCTCTGCTGATTTCAAACAGAGTTAATTTTAGAAATCTCACACAGTTTTCTAACTTCTGCAGTGTCATATTTTTCTTCAATATACCTTGAGTTTGGCAGGATCCACCTGTCTAAAAGCTGCTACATAACTTTGCCAAAAAATCCTAAAGGGAAGTTGAACTAGAAGTTCCTCCTGTAAGGCCTAGATTAAATATTCATTGGTGAGTAAAAATTTTAAAAGTTTAATTAAATTATACATTTCTCTCCTGCTAAACCAAACTCATTGAGTCTAAAACTCATATTTCATATAATTTGCAATTGTTTATGTTTGATTTTTAGAAGTGTAGGTATCTAATAAAATCCACATTAAAGGACATTAAAGTGCTGCTTAAGTACCTGGTGACGGGAAATATCTTGCAGAAAATGTGTTTGCATTACATAAAGTCTGTTAGCCTTACCTGTCATTTTCCAATCATTCAGGCTTTTTAAAAAAATACATGTATATAAATGATTGTTATATATTCTGTCAGAAACAGGTTATGAAAAATGTTAGTGGCTTTCGGAAATGATGTTTTCCTGTCAGACGTTGACGCTAAGATGCACTTGAGGTTTGTCAGCAAGGCGGCGGATACTGGCCGTGTCAAAGGAGATGTTACAGGTAAACACAGACGGAGACGTGGTATGAAAGCACATACAGCGGGGTAAAAAATGACAGAAACATAAAGTAATCATAAAAAATGAAATTTGATGAGCTACATTTGTTGAGTATGTTTAAATCTCTCAGGGAGAAGATCAATGAAACGGATAAGATCCATAAAATCTAATTCTGCCTCTGTTACAGTAAGTAGTGTGTGACTGAAGACAAAAGAGGGTTGCATATTTCAATGTAAATATATAATTAGAAGCACTATAAAATATTTATGTGAAATTAAAGAGGTAAATACAGTGCGGTGCAAAAGTCTGAGAAGCCCTTCATTTCCTTAGGTTTAATTTAGGAGGAAATAGACTTCATCATCATCGTTTTCTTCAGAGTTTCTGAAGGTTTTTTAAAATGTTTTTTTTTTGTTCACTGTTTAAAATTTTAAGATGAATGCTTTTTCTTTTCTAGGTTATTTAATTCTGACCAATAATTCATCTTGGCCTTTCAAACCGATGGGATAAACTAGTGTTTGATCTCATTATATAAGACAACAGATGTAGGCAGTTTGAACACTGCATCATTTTGCTAAACACATAAAGCATTTTCATTTGTTTAGTGCTTATGGGGGGTGGATAACAGTTTTCCAGCCTTAAATATTTTAAATCTTTAAAACAATGCTAAATAAAGTAATTTCTATTGCTAAAAACAACTTCAAAGTCTACAAAAAGGCCTGGCTCCTTGGAAGCAAAATATAAAGAAGTAAAGGGTACTTCAAGACTTTTGCACAGTGCTGTAAGCGTGTACCATATGCCACATAAACCACAGATAATAGCTATACATGTCACCGGAGTTTAATTATTGAACTCAGATAAAGCACGGCATTGGTCACCAGATTAAATGTGAAAAACACAAAAACCAGTTAAGGGAACGGATACACAGAGGATGGGAGGTGAGGAAGCAGACATTACGATGCAGGGAATCCAGACAGACCGAGAACAGATCTGGCAGCAAGCTCATTGGTTTGATTCCCGTCAGCCTGTCCGAGAAGACACCTGGAAGAAGGAGAAGGAAAATATAATGGGGTGAAAACCTGTACGACCTTCGTGAAGCTACAGCAAAACACAGAAGAAGAAGCTTCCAGGTGAATGAGTTACCTGAGAGATGTTGATTCCGGTCAGTTTCTCCACTGCTTCTGGGAGGCGAGTCATGATGTTCAGCACCTCTCCTGACAGTTTGGCTGCACCTATGTCTCCTCCTCCACTGGACACCATGGTCACTTTGTTGGCTTCACACAGAGGCCTGCTGATCTCTTCTGCCATCTGGTGGGGGACAGACGGCACAACATCTTAAACTAAACGCCATCTAAAACAATCCAAGGCAGAAGTCCTAAAACTTTTCAAACTTCTAACCCTCAAAATAAAAAGGGAAGAAATTATTGACCCTGAATATCGGTTGAGTATAAAATGATTTATCCAGTATCAATTAAACAGGAGTATCATGACCACCCAAAGAGCATTATCACCCAATATTCTGTTCTAATTGATTTGTAGGTTGTTGTTTTATCTCTTTATAGCATAAATATGCTTTCCACAATCATTTGTTTTTTTAATATTTAAAATAATAAAAAAAACAAAGTTATTTAGCTTAATTTCTAAAGAACATCTCAAGAAACCACATTTGTTGATGTGTGACCTCCAGTAACCCCTTACTTTGGGAATCACTGGTCCAAAAACATTAAATAAGACAGAGAGAACATAATTTCACATCAGCAATCCAAGATGTATTTAGATGAAAACCACAGAAGGAGTGTAAACGTGTTTGCCAGCAGAGAAATGTGTCTCACCAGAGGCAGTTTCTCCAGCAGCATGTCCACCATGGCTCCGTCCTTGTACTCCCTGAAGGCCTCGGCCTTCTTCGCCATCTGCTCTGCTTCAGCGCGACCCTTTGCCTCGACCGCGAACGCCTCAGCCTCACCTTTAACCTGAACAGGTCAACAGGAAAGGCTTACTGGTACGGAAGTTAACAGAAAACATAATCAACATAAAGATCTGGAAGAAAAAGGGATCATTAGTGGATGCATATATTTTAAAGCTGATTAGTGCAAACAAAAAGCTGCCAAGTTCAAGTCCAGACTGTTTATCCATTTGTT